TCTCTCTCTCTCTCTCTCTCTCTCTTTCCCTCTCTTTTTTTTGTTCCGATGGAAAATAGAAACTCTTTTGCCGAATCAACGCGCGTCACCGTTTTTCCGCCATCGGCAATAACGGGTATTTGTTCCGCGCATTTCTTTATCAGTTTATCCACTTTTCTGCTTGTTATTATTTATGTGTATTTTTATTTTATTTTCGTTCTTTTTTCCTCTCTTTTCAACAGCACAATGTCGAGCGGACGAATTCGAGTGTGACGACGGCTCGTGCGTCAGCAAAAACGCAAGATGCGATGGACGGAACGATTGTCACGATCATTCCGACGAGTATAATTGCAATGGTATATTGTTTCTTTCTTTTTCTACTACATGCCGAACTCTTTTCGCGCGTGTCTCTTGTGTTTTCCTCCATGATCGCGATAATTAAGTTGCGAGCAATTTTGTTGGAAAATTATAATCGTTTTACCGTATATAATCACGACTATTAACGTACTCCCTTTAATACTTACAATCTAGGTGGTTTTTTGGCCGACTCTTCAAGTCTTTTAACTAGAACTCTTTCGTATACATGTCAAAGAGTAGAGATTGGCAAAAAATTTGATACCCTTACCACACCCAAACTACACGGTGGTTTGAAATTCGAAAAACGATGCAGAAACCTTATTGTATAAACTTCTTTATTGAAAATATTTGTGACTTCAGTTTTCAAAGAAGAAATCTCCCTCTCTTGCTTTCACACACTGATTCTTGCTTGAAATAAATAAGATTTGTTATCACACATTTAAATACATTTAGTTTCTTACATAAAATAATATCTTTTCGTCATTCCATAAATTTGTTCAGTAAAACGAAATACGAAATTTTTAGTTACGACACGTCTAAATATGATATCAACGTATAATTTGGAGAAAAAAGAATAAAATTTGTATTGGACTAAAAATAACCTCATTGTGCTTCTGAAACTTAAAAAATTGAAATCTGATAATTATCACGGTTTCCGCGTGGCTTTTATTGTTTTAGACTACACTGTGCCTCGAATCGCGCCGCTGTAGTGGCTACTCGGATTGTAAGGGTCGATGTTCAAATCCAAGAAAACTAATAATTTTTCTTTTCTCGTATTAATAAGATAAAAAATATCGTCTCGAGACGGAGGATTGTCCGTCACTCACATCCATTGAGATGGACTTGTGCGAATTCCGCGAGCGAGTTCTTACGTTCATCCTCTAACGCTATTGTCGTTGTTCTCGCAGTGACCACCTGTAGCGGGGATCAGTATCGGTGTTTGGACGGCATCTGCCTGAGCATCGACAAGCGCTGCAACGGAGTGCCCGACTGCCGCAACGGCGAGGATGAGAACCAGTGCGGTAAGCCAGCTCCGTCTTCCTCTCTTCCTCGATACGATCCGGGCGATTTTTGCTCCCAACGAGAGCGCAAATCGCGCACGCCAACGGGAACTTTAACGAACATGCGAATTTCAGCGGGGTCCGCATTCGTTTTTCGGGCAACATTGTCGACGTGCGTGAATCCTACGTCGCGGCAATGGCACGCAACTAATTGCCGAGATCGATAATGCACTTTTGCAACGATGACTGCGTCATCCGCGATAAACTTGCGCCGGTGCTCTTTGCTAAGTGTCGATTACTCGACGCGATTATTCACGAGCGATCGAGAGGGGCGCTCGAGCTTCAAACGAGCGCGACAAATGCGCCTGCAAAGTTCAACAGCATGTCGAGCGAGTCCCACGGATAAATCGCAGCAGCGATATCTCGCTCGAATTCGCGAGAAAAACTTGAGATTGCAAGATAGTCAGATTACGAAATGCATAATTGCCGCACAACAACAGATATTGTGGATGTCCAAAAAAATATCATCTTATTTTTAATGAATATCCCGCGTCCAAATTTTGATCCTACTTTCAGTCTCACTATTCCATTCGACATCTATTTCGACGAAAGAAAGTGAAAGAAGAAATTTATGACATCATTAGAGTCAGAGGAATAAATTGTACCGTTAGAATTAAACCTACTTTTCAAATGAGAAATTAATTTGGCCAGTAAAGGGTGGAGAATATTGTGCTTAGAATATTCTCTTTTTGGTTTCGGAAAAATCCTGTTAAGACTACATACTAACAAGTAAACCTACCCAAAAGATACACTCCGATTTCTTTCTAATTTGGCACAAATGTAGAAGTAAAAAATATTTAGGTCATATTTTTTTATTTTGGCCCATTTTGAGTTTCACAGTTTATAGCTTTTTAATGTTCTCACTCCTATCATCAACAAAAATGCATAAAAAATAAAATTGAATACAAGATACAGGCGTTTTTTACTTGCTAATTATGAATATGAAGTCAAATATAAAATTATTTATATAAATAATAAAATGTTTAAACAAAATATGTAAAAAGTTGAAAAAAATTATTTATACAAATAATTTCTCAGTTTGGCCGAGATTCGAACTATTTTTGACTAATTTAGCATAGATTTGAAATATTTCAGTTGGAATCTCGGCTGAAAAAATTTAGAATAGTTCGTGTCTCAGCTATGCCGATTTTGTTAAAATTATTTAACTTATTTATCTTGTATTCAATTTTATTTTTTATACTTTTTTGTTGATAATAGGAATGAAAAGATTAAAAAACTATAAACTGTCCGTGAAACTTAAAGTGAACCAAAATGAAAAAAATATTAATATTTTTTGTACTTTTACATTTGTGCCAAATTAGAAAAAATCGGAGTATAACTTTGGATAGGTTTACTTGTAAGAGGATATCCGCTGAAAATAAGATGCTATTTTTTTGTGAAATCCGACGAAAGAAAGAAAGACAACAATAATCTCTGATTTTCGTCGCGCCGTGTCGCGAGCGGGAAATTCGCCGTCGCGTCGCGTCGCGATGGTAAATTCGCGAACGGAGGTCGACACACGTTTACGCCGGCCGGCGATTACGTGTCGGCAGTCCGAAAGACCAGCGTCGGCTACGCCGTGGCGCGCTGTAACGCGAATACGTAAACTTAATTTTGCCCGGCACGCTCCGCGTGACTTTCGATTTACGATTTTCCACGCTGACCGAACTTTACGCCCGGCGCGCACCCGTCGAAAATAACGTCTTCCCCGAAAATAGTTCAGCTCAGTGTCGCGTTGCACACCTCGCCCAATTGGCCGGTTTTATTGCGAGGCGAAGCAACGCGCGAAAGAGCGCGATCGCTCGTGTGTGAAGAAAGCGACGCCGGCTGAACTTTCAGGCGTCTCCTCGGTAACGTATCGGGACAAGTTGTATAATTTACAGCAGCGTTTTTATTCCCCGAACAAACTCCTCGTCGTCGTTAGCCTGCGGCTACTTAATCGACGGGGCCCGATCGACTTTTTGAGCGAACCAGGAGTGCTACTGCGGACTTGTTCGGAACGGACTCCGATCGGAATGGCCCAGCTGTTCCCTAGATTCCTGTTGTGCTTCCTAGGGAAAACGGAATTATCCCGTTTAGTGTCCATGCCGAACGTAGCATCCGTGTCCTCGATAGCACCCCTGCAGGGCGATTCCGTAACTTTTGACGTCGACATCGTTATGTTATCGTCGCGCAGCTGTAACACATGACCTGCGTTTCAATATTCACTGTCAGCGTTGGAAAGCTACAGTTCACGTCACGTGTACCATAGATTTTCGGCGCTGTCAGTAATCTTGAAACATAGCCATGGTGGAAAAGTTGCGCAACGGCATATCATACTGGTGATAATCGTCGTTATAAAGTTAAATTCGGAATTACTTGTACAATCGAGACAATTTTCGAGGGATACTTACTTCTCCTTGCCGCTCCGTATTCTTGAAAAATATCGCATACAACATTCGAAGAAAAACTATAGTATATACGTAACATGAATTATAATTTTTCAAAGAAATATCGCATGCGATATTTTTCGAGTATAAGGCCACAGCTTGCCCAACGGGCCATGCAATTAACAATCGTGGTCTCAGGACCGTTGACATCAGAAGATCTATTCTGAAATGAACTTTCCAGAGATTAGGGTTGCATTCCAAATCGTCCTTTTTGAGGAAAATTTTACTCAATATCTTTAATTCACGTTATATATACTCCAGAGTATCGAGTAAAATTTCCTCAAAAAGAACGTTTTGGAATGCAACCTAGGAAACGTCTCGCAGATCTTCTGATGTCAAGGATCCTGAGGTCCTAGGCGAGCTGGAGCGGCAAGGACAGCCAAGTAGACGCAGCCATCGAAAATCGCCTCGATTATAGCAATCCCGATCATGGGTTAGAGAATCGGCCCACTAACATCCTTTCAAACGTGTCGAAAGGCCAAGGCGACGGTGATAAAAGCGGCGGATCGAAGGGTAAATTAATCACATCGAGATGACCCAGCTGCTCGCGCGACCCTCGCGGCTATCCGACAGCCGCTGATGACCATCTGTCATCGAGAAACGATGGCGGTGACGCAGCCTCGCGCGACTGCCGGATTGTTTCGCTGTTATTAATCCGACTCGCCGCAAGCGATTGCGCGGAGAGTGTCGCCTTTGCTTGCAATCTCCCCCCCCCCCCCC